AGAGATCACAAACTTTCTTAACGCTTTTGGTAATTGGTTCATAAACGCACGGATTTTCACTAACTTATCTTGAAAGAAAATTATTTGAACTGTCTCCTCGCACTTTCTGTCTTTTAACAAACTTCTTTCAGGTTCGAAGGAGCGACAGTTATTGACGCGAAAAACAGCATTTGTGACATGTTTTGAACAGTATGAAACAGCATCATTAGCAATGTAGTATTATATGGTAGTGATATTGTATGTCTAAACTCTCACCTATCTTCCTCATAAATACTCATTTCCCATTCAACATTGCCACTGACGGAGTGATTGTCGCGCAATCTTTTACAGGCAAATGTCAGAGCGAAGTTCCAATGTAGGGACTTTTAGAGATTTCAAACTCTGCTACTTCGACTCTGACTAGGCCTACATTGTTATGAAATGATATCTAGAAGTTTTATAATGTCTTATAAGTTCTATAAAAGTGCATCTTTTTAAGTTTCTCCAATTATCCAAAACCTTATTTGTGAAGTGCGATGAAGGTCCTAGAAGGAGGTGGAGGACAAGATTTCGCAATAATAAGAATACCCATGTGCTTGTAAACATGAACACAATGATCATCGACTTCAAGCCACTTATTCCTTAGTCCCTTAAGCATTATACTTTGTCTACTCCAGTAATACTCATTGAATTTGTAGTTTAGCTAATATGTTTAGTTCTCTCCAGAGGTCTCGACAAGGAGAATATCCCGTTGAAAGCTTGTACTAGTTGAAACCCTTCCTCGAATTTCGAGTTCGTTTTTTCGTAAGTATCCAGAGGTGCAAGTTTTCTTAATAGTGTATCAACAATAGATCAGGATAGTATAATAGAAACAATTTTTTATGGTGAGGTAATGCATCTAAAGCACAAGTTTTTTTTGTTGTTGAAATTTTCAGAAAGATTTTGTCCTATTTCTCGATTAAATGCATATTGGTCAAAGTAAAGTTTATTGATGCCAATACTTCCAGAACAGTTTTCAATCTGCCCTTCCAACAGCCAATTTTAATTTTTCCAAAAATCATGTCTGCAGCTGCGCGAGAGCTTTGGAATTGTCATATTTGCTTCGAATTTTTGCTCAGAAAGAACCTCTACACCCACTTGAAGGTGGTTCACAAGCAATCGAGGGAACAGATTAAACAGATAAAGGATGCGATAAAGGAGCAGTCAACGACGGCTACTGCTACTGTTCCGAAATTGTATTGTTCTCTGTGTGATGAAGATTTCAAAGACCATGAGACCACG